TTTTTTTTTTTTTTTTTTTAAAAATACTTATATAGCTAATAGCGCTCTCCAGCAAAATACCAGAACACCTTCTAATGCCAACACTCCTGGCACAATGCGCGCAGCAGGAGGCATTTAAATAACGTAAATGCTTTTCTGAGTCTCTCTCCTTCAGAAAGGACTGAGTTATCAAGAGCACAAGAGAGGGAGCACCGTGTAGTCTAGTTTGTAGGACTTAGTCTCAGCTCTCTGCTCAACTAGTTCTGTCCCACGGGGGCTTTTGAGCATCACCTATTAAGATCACAGAAATAGCAAACAGACAGTATCCCAGACTTTTTTTCTGTACAAGACAGAGCTCACAAACTTTGCCAGAAATTAGAGGATTTAGCAAACTATTACAGAAACAACTGGCCTGGGCTGAATTTGGGTGTCTGCTTAAGTATCCCTCAAGCCATCAGCCTCCAATAGGTGAAGGAGCTGTAACAAATGAACCACCTTAAAAATGATTAGACCAAGTCTGCAGGGACACACAGCCCTAAAGTCAATTCTGACGGTGTCAGCTCTCTAGCAATTTCTCTGTTATATTTATATTATTTATATTAGTTCAACATTTTGAATCGCACTTTGCAGGCTGATATGGACATGGATTCAGGCCTAACTGAATCTGACCAATAATACAAACCAAAGAGACGGGGAAAGGAATGGCAACAGCAGTGCGGTTAAAGGAAAAGGTCATGCATGTGCCTTGTTAATTTAACCACACTGAGAGACTCAGTAGTTACAAGAATCTGCAAAGCATGGGGAAGGGGAAGAGGAAGGAATTAAAGGTGCTGTCTAATCTCACCCCTGTGGTCGTCTCTGGCCTGATTTGGGTTTGCTGCATGAGATTTTGTTTGCTTTACCAGGACAGATCTTCTATGCAATAATCACCATCCTCAAGCATTCAACAAAGCATCAGTTGGGTCTCCCAGATCATGACATTGGCTTAAATATGGTTTTAAAAAAACTAACTGATCTTGCTTTTCCCTTTGCTTTTGGTTACTGAGGGATCAGGCCTTCAAGCTTTTTTGTGCAATTAGATGGGCTAAAAATTTCCGTTTTTGAAAAGGAAAGATTTTCACCTCATCACAAGGATCCCAGAACTGAGGCTATGAGAAATCCTTATGTAGCAAAACTGTAAGGGCTGTCACTGATGCCAGTACTTGCATTTTTACCTTGTGTGACCTTTTGGGGCTTTAGTGGTTTTGATGGGAAACCAGGAGAACCAACACTGTTTTTACACCAGATCCCAAATGAAGCTGGCTATGCTACGTTTGGGAATTGCTGTGATAAGAGGGCACTAACACAAGACGGACAGCTTTTAGATTTTAGGCTATTTCCTGTAAAATGTAGTAGCTAGGTATTAGCTCAGGACACAACATTCAGAGTTGGATTTCATTAACTACACCAAAACATTTAATGGTGTTGGGATTCACGATCCTGGTGTAGCCCATTCACGACAGAAATCAAGGCTTTCATTTCAGATCTTTCTCTTGCCACCCCAAAATAAAGGGTTTTTACAAGAGCAAGAGCCTGTTTAGGACCATCTCTGGCAAAATTATGCCATAAATGAATCGTCTCACGTAGACCTTCCTGCGGGTCAGAGGAACTGAACTCGAATTTCTCTACTGTGTTTAAACAGCATAGTGCCTAGCACGGGATCTAAATAAAGCACCAGGTGCAGTGCAAGCAACAGAAACTTTCCATTCATCAAATAATAACTACAAAACTTGGCATTTTTGTGGTTTGTTTTTCATCCAAAATTCTGACAATACATTACAAATGAGGGTAAGTAATATTAACCCCATTTCACTGACACAGACCCTGAAACCCAGACTGGTTAAATCACACGGCCAAGTTCACACAGTTTTAAGTTGGTGGCAGAGAGCTACAGTGGTCAAGTCAATTTACAGATCTCCTAGTTCTGTTCCCACAGAGAAAATGTGTTGAGATAGTTGGAAGATGTAGCCTGCAATGAAAGGGAGCATCAGCATCCTCTAATGCAACAACACTATGTACTAGGACTCACTGAATTTGTGGGAGCAATATCAAGCCCTATCTTAGCATTTGGCAGGTAAGTAAAGTGCTTTTCAAACTGCCAGCCACACATCTAAGCTAAACAGCTCCTTGTGATGGATTTTTAATGGTGTGTAGTTCAGTTTTTATTATATGGAGCTCAGATACTTTTTTGCTAGGTTTGCTTTAAAATGCAAATGGATATGTAAATTTTTAAGTCTATACAGATTCTGCTCGACCTTAAGGTACTGCGCACGTATTTTTTTTTAATGCACAGCCACTCCTACATACATATACAACATTTCTGCAGCCCATCTTTAAAGCGGGGTGAGCCTATGGTCAAATAACATGATGCAAGGTGTGCCTGAAGATAAATTAGCATCGATATTAATTGTTCACTCTTACTTGTAAACCAACACCACCTAAAGCCTCAGTTATGACCAGGCCCCAATTGTGCCAGACCTAGATCACCACACAGGCAGACAAAATCTGTGCCCTAAAGAGCTTATAATGTAATTTGCCCTCTGTGCTACAATTCTTTACGCTCCCGTGCTAAACAACCACTGAAGCCATCAACGACAATCAGTCGCTTAAGGGAGGTGAATCTCCTAATTAAGGTGCAGCAGAATCATACTCAGTACATTTGTGGATACTTTGTGATGGACTCCCATAGATAGGCGGTTGCCAGATAAAGGTGATCTTGTGTACAAGTCCCATTGTTATAACAATATATAACAGTTACTTTGCACTTTTATAGCACCTTCTGTCCAAGAACCTCACAGCATTATGTAAATATTAACAAAAGATTCATAAATCAAACCAAGTACTGTTAATTTTAGAGGGGAAAGACTGAGGCCTACAAAAGATGACAAACTTGTCTATGTTTATACAGTAAGTCAGTGGCAGAGTCAGGAACAGAACCCAGATTTTTCTGGGTCATGCTTCCTAAATTTAAAGCAGGGGCAGGCAATTATTTCGGGCGGAGGGTCGCTTACTGAGTTTTGGCAAGACCTCGAGGGCCACATGACAGGCAGCCAGGGGAAGATAAATATTAAATTTTCTAAACTTTTTAGGGGCGCCACAGACTGGACAGAATGGTTTGGTGGGCTGCATCCAGCCTGCGGGCCACATTTTGCCCACCCCCAAATTTAAAGGATATCATAGACTTATTTACTGTGTTAGAGAGTGAATGACTGCAGCTTGTATCCCCAGTTGCCTTGTGTGACACTCTTGAGTTGGTTTCTGCTGCATACTTCTGTCACGTGCATCAAGAATTTAAAAATGTATTTAAAAAAACACTGCGTTCGTGGTTCTGACAAGCGGGGCATTTGCAGGGGACCACCATGGCAGATTCTGCTGATTCCGGGGGTCCAGCACTAAAATCTAAAATCATTAAAAAAGCACACGGGACAAGAAAAACAATTGTACAAAATGAGAGTATCAAGTACTGTCAAGAGGCTACTTACTGTACGGCACAAGGTGAGGGGGCTGAGCTGGCACCAGCTGTGTGGAAGGACCTGGGGACTGTGGTTCATCAGCGACAGTGCCCGACTGTTGGAAAGCCAGGTCAATCTCTTCATCCGTCAGTCCTGGGGGAGAGGAGGAAAGGAGGTAAGTTTAGTACCTTTACTCACTTGACGCATTCATAATTAAATCTTCAAGCCAGGCAGAACCCTTTCAAGCTGCAGAAGGATTCTGATAGTGACTTGTGTAGCACTGCCTCCCCAATTTTGGATTCACTGAAATCTCTCCCCCTCTCTCTGCTGCAATTTAACCTTAAGCGACAGAATATTAGCCTCAACGCTGCTTCCAAATGTGGCTCATTCAATTTCCTTAATTTATCCTTGAGTTTATTGCTGCTTTTGAAGTAGCTTTCTATTGCAATTCTCCATTCTTCCCCCGAAAAAAAGATACCATCAACTGCAAATGTGGCTCATTTTAATCTGTAATGGTGTAAAAAAAAAAAAAAAAGAGGGGAAAAAACTAACAATAATGCATGAAAACAGACAGGGAAACAAAAAACTAATTATTGGGTTAGACGACTAATTAGTCTAGATCGTTTCCAAAGACGGGAATAATTTGCTTTATTTTATGACAAATGCAGAAATAAAAAGAAAAAATCAGGACTGACTCTGATTAGTATGAATGGGACACAGAATGCAGGGAGGAAATAAAACTATAACAAAACAGATCAAAACAAAGCCAAGACCAAACTTTCAGATTAGCATTGCCCCGGCCTATCACAGCCTGATTAGACTGCCTGAGGCTAGCCTGGTTTTTATTTTGCACATGGCAGTAGCCCCACACATGGTACATGTTGATGTAGTCTCTGCTGCCACTGGGAAATGCCAGGATGCCCATCTGTAAGCAGTCACAACACATGGAGAGGATTTGGCCAATGCGGGAGGGGGCGGGGGGGAGAAAAGCAGCTGAAAGATCCATGATGACCAGCATCTGTGAAGGAAGAAATACAGCTGGGTTTTTTGGTTTTTTTTTTTTTAAACAGAAGGAAAAGTGCTCCAGAAAAAAGAAAGTGGTATGAGGAAAGAGACCATGCCATTAGCCTGAAAAGTTATTTGTCACTTGTACCTTGCCACCTAGCGCACACGGAAACAGGTAAAAAGCCAAGGTCCTTGCCCTGAGGAATTTCCACAGCAGTTCAAGTGGCCCCACTGTACACAGAGTGCATATGAGAGAAGGAAGGGAGGAGATGAAAGCAGCATCGTTTGCAAAAGAAGCATGTGTTAAGGAAACAGATTTGGCGGAGAAGAAAGAGGCCGCTCGACTCTTGGAAAGCTGTTTCAAGCATAAGGGGTAGCATGGAAGAAGGTGTAAAGCTCAGAATGGGGAGAAGAGATGGAAGGAGCACTTTCTCTCCAACACTACTCAAGATAAATGGAGTTCAGCTGCATGGCCATTCTCGGTACTGTTGGTAGATGGAATTCATGAACTTTATCCCCTTTACAATACAGCGCTCCTTAACATCATAGTGAGATGTAATACAGAACAAAGCCTGCTTAGAGGAGTTTATCCAGGATCTGAAATTTGACTGCACACTATGAGTCTGATAGAGTAATCCATAATACAAGCAACACTGCCAGGAATAGATGTCAAGGCTTATAACACATAGCAGTGACCATGCCTGTCTTTTAGAGGGCTTTATAATTATGAGCTGATCTTCCCAGAACTCCTTTACGTTCAGTATTGTTATCCCCATTTTAAAAAGGGGATACTCATACACAGAAAGGTTAAGTGACCCATTTCAGGTCAGAGCTGGCTGTCAATGTCACACGTAGGATTTTAAATCCAAAGTTCTGGGCTTCACTTTTGGGTACAACCGACCTACCTAAAAACAATTGTTTTGCATTTGATGCGGGCCTCAAATAGCAAAGATACAGACAGACCAGCAACCAAGAGGGGACAGCGGCAAGAGACACATGGACACATTCATTCAGGCGGCTGTTTTAAAGCCCCAGTAGCAATATGCATGGTATGTGAGCCCTGTTAGACAGCAAAATCCTAATAAGAAAGGAACTGTTTTAACCAATTCATAATTATCCAATAGAGGAGAGAGCATAAGCAGATGCTGGCTTTATAGATCACTAGCAACCATGGAATTTTATAAGTCTGGAGCCAGACACACAAGGCTATATTAGCTGCTGACTGCAAATGCAGCTCTCTAAAAAGGGGCATTTTGTTCTGTTTCCATGCAAAGATAGCAGATGTGATAACATTTAACACTGAGAAACGTACAGTAAGTTATGGAGGATGCTTTGTCCTTGAGATCTTCAGGCTATGCAAAGAACAGGAAATAATGCTCATTGTTTCCCATTCCTACTACCCCCTCAATTCTCATCCTGTTTAGGAAAAAAAAAGTTTTATAGATAAAATTTACTTCTTGCATTAATCTGGTCATGCCCACTAGCAAGACTCGAGTGTCACTGTTTCCATTACAGAATCCTGCTTTAACAGGGAAGAGAAAGTGCATGTGAATGGTAATGAGATATGAAAGCTTTCAAATTTAGTTTGCCGATTTGAATCCTGCACAAGTTCGGAGCGAGTAAAAGCCGCTACCATCCAATGGCTATTCTGTGGCTCTGTGCAGCGGTTTCATTCACATTACTAATAGCATCTCAGAAAACATTACTACAACTGGCTTCATTGTTAATAATGAAAGGACAAGACTGAAATAAGTACAGGGACTGGATACGTCCCTATCTGTCCGTCTCCAACTATGATGTTTACGAAGACCTATCACCTCGGTCTCTAACCACCAAGAGAAGATCTACTGAAGGTCAGAGTTAAAGGCCAGAGAAAGAAAAAGCCAGCATTTCAGCTCACCATTTCTGGATTCAGAGAAAATGTCTCTCTCCAGGGCTGTCACTTTGGCACGTTTCATGAACACTAGCAAAAATTTATTAGGTATTTTAAGGAGTCTAGTCTCAAGACTTTAACACCTAGCCATGACAGTTTTTCTTCTCTCGTGCTCACAGCAAGAGCAACTTTTCCAAACCCAGGAAACTGTTTTCCAAAACTCAGAAATGCAAAAAACTATAGCGTTTTCAAAGAAACTGAAAACGCTGGGATCAAACCAGTGATCCATCTGGCCTAGTAGCTTGTCTTGACTTAACCATACTGGCATGCCTACTGAACATGAAACAAAATCAGAAATAGGTACCAATATCAGGAGTCATTTAACTTCACTCACCCATATGAATTCTGGTTTGCCTACACAAAAAGGAAGCCTAGGCATCTTGGTACCACCCTAAGTTAATGTGTGTGTAGAGCAGACTGGGACATGTTAAGTGCTTAAAAAATGGAAAAGTGATGAAGAGAGCAACACTCAGTCATTATGCCCACCAGGGATTCACAACAGAAGAATACTCCCACCGTTTGGCCCTTCTTGGATGTGCACTGGCTTATGGACATCAAAACTCATTCTGAGCTCTGGGGTATGCCACTTCTGTCCAACACCAGCACCCAGAATCGATAGCTCTGTCAACCCAGTGAGATCTGTAAAGTATCCACAGGCTTGCTTACTGCCCTCTTCCGGTACAAAGCTGGTTACCCAAACAGAATATGCCTCTCTCTTGGGTGCATAAATGGTGCCACAAAAACTAAAGCCTTGCACTGAATATGATCGTCTCTGGGAACAAGTGTGTCAATAGCATCACATCGGCGTAACAGAACATCCCCTGCAACCCTCGCCTCCCCCACGGTATGAAAGACAAACATTTTAGATCTTCTGGAGTCACAGAGAGATCAAGACCATGCAGAACGCAAAAGGTTAAAAGGAACAATAAAGGAAACTGCCAATTGTAAGTGAATTATATTTGGCTTTGAAAGCTGAGCCACGGCTATATTATAAAAGGCATCTCTTTGCGTTGTTTACCATCACCCTGACTAATGCAGACCTTTTTTTTTTGTTTTAAATAATCTCATGCAAATTAGACACACACTTCCTTCCAGTTGATTGCTATCTGCAAGGAATAATCTAACCGCAGAGGGTACTGAGCAAGGACTGAGTGGAGGAGAAGGATGCGAGGAAACTGTCTTCACAGCCCTACAGAATGCAAACCTCCTCCCCTCCCCCATCCGTCTATCTTGCTCCTCCGTAGAGCCGCTGCTTTTTGCAAGAATTAGTCGTAATTTTCATAAAACGTTCAATTTTTCTTTTCAGGTTGGAGGGCGTTAATTTACATTATCCAGCACCCAACAATATTTTGCTTTCAGGTGTTCTCAGCACCGCTCATTCAGCAACTTCACTCCTGCCATTCCCAATTTTTGGGAGTCAATCAGCCACACTGTTAGACAACAAAACAGGCCACGCTCTAAGCCTGTACTGGGGATACCTACTTGGAAACTTCTTTGCTTGGGACTTGTAAAACTAAATTATCTATGTGATTTTATAACATCCATTGTCATGGACTTGGAGCATCTCTAATACATCAAAGCCTGTTTTCTTACAATAACTTTGTCCCCATTTTCTAGATGGGCAGGTAAGGCACAGAGGTAAACTACTTGCCCCAAGATTACACAGTGGATCTGCAGCAGATCTGGGGGTTTAAACCCAGATATTCTGAGTTTCAAATAAGCAGACAGAGCACTAGAAAAACGTACTATAAAGAAGCAACCCCGCATCAGCTGGGAGATTGACTGGATGACTTAACGAGTCATTTCCAACTCTCGCACGTTCCTTGTAAGGCATCGTATTCAGTCCCCATCCCGTATAGGTATCTTTCTTTTTATGATGTTCCCCAGTGTTTTATCCAGACCGGTAACAGAGGCAGCAGGTTCATTAATACCTGAAGAAAGGGTTAGGTTTGGGGAGAAAAATTCTCACTAGAAAAGGGAAAATATGTTGTCTCCTTAGAAGTGGACAGGAAAAAAAAATTAAATTCTTTCCTGGATTCTCCAAACCAGCCTTTTGCCACTCTGTCTGCTAGATGGCCCCGGGGCTGTTATCACACCTGAGGCAAACAGAGCCAAACCAGAGACAAACAGGATTTTCTTTTTCTCATGATTTCTGTTAAAAAGCAAACAAACCCAAACGGGCTGACTTTGTTCAGCTGAACAACAAACTACCTGT